ACTGAGGAAAGAACAAATGAAGATTTGTTAAAAGGAGAAGATTCCAGAATGGTCAGCAGTTTGAAGAATGATGTGAAAGGTACTGAAGGAGTCACAAAACTGAGTGACTGAGGAGTCGTGGTTTTCCTTGAGTTCGTTGCTCTTGTTGCCCAGCTACTGACTTGGTTTCCTCTTGTTCTGTGTGTGTCCTTGAAATATCTCTTGTGCCTGCTGTTTTCAGTGGCCTCGATTGAGTTTGGCCAGCAACTGAGCAAGGTGAGAATGAAATTAAGGTCATAGATTCAATTTGCATTTGAATCCATGACCTTTTCCATCTGTGAACTTTTCCATCTAGGGAGAAGATGCACCAAGACTAACTCTGGCTGGCCAGTTCAGAGATGAGCTTACTGGCATATGCATAAGCAGGAGTGCTGGTAGGTCAGGGCAACCTCCCTCTAACATTTGTGAAGCCACTCAAAACACCCCTGTACAGAGGCTACGTTCTTAAGTTCTTGAGAGTAGTCCTCTGAAACTGAAGTGTGATATGCATAACTTTAGCTACCCAAGGAATTAATATAAAACTTAGTCATGTCGCAATTTTTATAACAAATTCACAAAGAGCTGTTAATGGAAACTACAAATGAGACTGGCTGACCTATGTGGTCCTACAAGGTTTTAATATCTTTTGGATATTTTGATCAAACAGCTGAACAGAATCTGGCTTCTTTCCAAGTCCGTGAGGAGAAAACATCGCATATGTGAATGAAATCTTAATGTTTCCTTGCCAGTGAATTCCCTTGTCTGTTAAGGAGCCTGTGTCAAAGAAAGCCATTAGACTTCTGCATAGCTTTCCGTATCTGCCTTTGGCAGCTTACTAACAGTGCTCTTCATTGCGGTTACTCTTAAACCCAAGAATATGAGTCTAGAGCCAGCATGGGCCTTGTTTGAATCTGCTTTGTCTTCATACTTTCAAGGTATTAGATTTGTTTGTCTTTGTCAGCCCTCATTGTCTTTTTCTTCACTCATTTTCAGGAATCTTACTCAAGGGTTGAGGAATTCAGTTCTGAGCCAAATTGCCTTTGTCCCGTAGGTAATAATATCTGAAAGCGATGGACTCCCTGACACGAATCAGCCTGGCTGTTTTATTCTTCAGGATTTTTAAGGAGGAGGAAAAGAACATTGTGCTTCAATTTACTAGGCATTATCACATACATTATCTGAGTTAATCCTTACTATAACCATGTGAGATAGGCATTATTACCTTAACTTGACAGATGAGGAATGTAACTTTGAAAATTTAAATGACTGGAGCCAGCTCTGCGGCCTGGTGATTGGGGAAGCTGGATCCCATTTGGCTGACCGTGTGGTTTGAGTCCAAATGGTTGGGAAACATGCTGAATGTGTGCAAGCACGTGCACATGTGCCCAGGGTTCTGACAGGGTGGAGAAGTAGCAGAGAGGGCCTTGTGATATGACCAAGCCCCACTGGTGGCTGCTGTCTCTCTCTCTCTGGAGAGTATACACACTCTCTCGAAAAAAAATTTTTAAAGAAAAAATTTAAATTGTAGTTTGAACACTCGTCTGCTGGACTTCAACACTTGTGATTTTTCCAATGCACATACCGACTCTCAGAGATAGCAGGGTTTTCTTAGACTGAAACTAATATGACATGCTGGACACCTAGCTTCCCCCTCCATTGCTGCTTTTCTCCTGAAAGTTAAGTTCTTGCTATAAGGAGCATGTGCTCACTGAAGTGGGATAGAGAGAGAGAATATGAGAAATTGCCCCTCCCCCCGGAGGAGACGGCCACTCTATAATGCCTTCTTTATTCTCCCCTCAGGATTTTGGGCATGCATGCACATGTACCCAACATGATTTTCAAGCTACTGGGTCTGAGTCTCGAATTACTATATGAGATCCAGCACCTTGGGACCAGCAGTTAGCGTAATGGCTATGTCGCTGGACTCCCATGTAGTCGACCGCGGTTCGAGTCCCGGACCCGGCAGCTTAAACTCACGCCGGGCGTGTGTGTGTGTGTGCCCGCCCAAGATCCCGAGAGGAGAATGGAGGAGAAGGAATTGTGATGTGGCCATCCCCCCTGGGGGGGGTGATTTCTCGCTTTCTGTCTCTCTGTCTCTCTCTGTCTGGTGAGCGCACGTGCCCTATAGCAAAAAAAAAAAAAAAAGAGAGAGAGAGAGAGAGATCCAGCACCTTAACCACCATGCCACCTGCTGGCCCAGTTAAATTATTTTCAGTGGACAAGTACTTATACATATTTATGGGGTACAATGTGATACTTTGATATATGTTTACAATGTGGAATGATTAAATCAGGCTCACTAATTTTCATTCCACTTTGATTATGTTCCCTTGTCAAGATCAGTCCTTTACAGCAAGGCCACAAATTAAGCTTTGAACCACCAATAAAAAGGGTTTGAACCTGCTTTCAGTTTGTCCAAAATCCAGTTACTGTATTTTTCGTAGGTCTCCTAACCCAGTCTAAGAGTGTGCCATTTTGGTGGCATAGCTGGTACTTGCTAGATGCTCAGCACTTTGAGACATTTGAAGTTCCATCATCCACTTGAGAACCAAAAAGGTCTTCAGTTGTAGGAACGTAATTCTTCCTATGGTGAAAGCAAACACATTCCTCCTCTGGCCCAGAGTGGTAAGCAGAGCAACTGCAGAAGGATTTGCCATAGGAGGGTTGATGTGTAGTAGAATAGATCATTGAGAAATTGGCCATTTGAGCTGAAGATAGAAGGGAATTTTCGAGAGTACAGAACCTGAAAGGGATGATCATCATCCTGATGAAAGAAAGCTGGAAGGTATTCTAAGACCAGGGGCCAGGGGGAGAGTTAAAAAACCTGAGTACAAAGCATCGTGGTGTGGTGACATCCATTTGAGAGAAGGATGACTAGATTCTATTCAGGTTCTGAACATCATAATTTGAGAGAGTGCAAAGGGTCCTCTTGGAATTAGTCATTATCTTTGGACTCAAATGCATCTTGAAGCAATCATTTTTAGAGATAGTAAGGGATTATTAGCCTTCCAAGGTTGTTTCAACACTACATTCCAGAAAAATCCATGCTGTTTTGGTTTCTTCTTACCCTGTTTTGTCAACTGAGCAGCTTTCACTCTAGTTTGGGGCCTTGAGAGCCAATCTCTGGGAATCCACTGTAGAGACCAGGAGCTTGAGGAAAGGGTGACAGGGAAGCTCAGGAAGGTAGAGCATGAGTCCTGGATTTCTTCCCCATTCTGTTCTCCAGTTTTTGTTGCCAGCATTGTACAGAGATAAGCTATGTAAAATTCCTGGCTGCCAACAGTCATTTTCTGTACCTCACAGAAAGAAGAATGAGGTGCCTATTCCTCAGCTAGTAGCCTGTGTTGTCTTCAGTGACTGAGTTTCCTGAGAAATTTCAAATTTGGAAATAAGTGGAAGGTCTAGCTCTGAGGAACAAAGTGGGTCCAGTCTAGAGAGCTCATCAGTGCCTTCCTTGGTACCTACCCCTTGTCCCTCTTTCTTCCCTCCCCATGTCCCAGAATTTGTGGTTCAGCGTTGTCATCAAGAAGTGCCTACAAGTGACATATGAGGCCAACTGAAAGAAAGGGGCACCAGACAGTTAAGAGGGATAGCAGAAATTATCACAAGATAGGCTATTCCCAAAGAAATGCTTTTGAACACCACAAAGTGTGGGAGAAGACAAGGGTCCTGTATAAAATCTGATATAGATCAGGGAGAGCAGGAGGTATGGGAATGCCTCACTTTACCAAAGCAATTACTGTGGTAAATCGCTATAGTAAACAGTTCAAAGACCAGAACCCCATTTCTCTAGTTCTGTGCTGTCCATAAGGGAGCCACTAGCCACATGTGCATATTGAGCATTTGAAATAAGGTTAATTTAGGGGCTGAGTCTGTAGCCTAGTGACTCAGGAAGCAGGATCTCATATGGCCAACTGTGGTTTGAATCCTGGCCCTGGTAGTTTGAGGAACCTGATGGGTGCATGTGTGTGTGTGTAGGCATGCTCCAAATCCCAACAGGATAGAGAAATGGAGATGGGATTACGGCATGATCACACCCTATTGGGAGGTGCTTTCTCCCCCTACCCTTCTCTCTAGTGAGCACATGTGCTTTCTGGCAATTAAACAGAAATAAGATTAATTTGAATTGAGACATTCTGTAAGGGTAAAATACACTCAGATTTCACAGTAAGAAAAAAACTAATTTTTTATACTGATCACATATTAAAATGATAATATTTTTGATAAGTTGGGTTAAATAAAACATTACCAGGCCAGCAGAAGGCATGGCGATGAAGGTGCTGGATCCCACATGACCAGCTTCACAGTTTGAGTCCCAGACCCAGCGACTTGAGAATCACACAGGGCGTGTGTGTGTCCAAAATCCCGAGAAGGAGAGTGGAGGACATGGGGTTGTGTTGTGGCCATCCCCCCTGGGGAATAACTTCTCACTTTCTCTCTGTGTGTGTGTCTCTCTGGCAGTGCATGCAACCTATAACAAAAACAAAGACAGACAAAAACAGGACCAAAGAAGTGTCACAAAATAGTATTCAGAGAAAATAAACTTTAAAAAAATTCCCATTAATTTTGCCTATTTCTTTTTATCTTTTTAATGTGGTTACTAGAACATTTAAAATTATATATGTGACTTTTTGTTGGACATTGGTGCTCTGGTATATTCAGAAATAGGGTTTGATTTATAAGCATCTTTTTAGTGGTACATTTCTCACTTTAAGTAAATATACCTGCATAGGAAAGACAGGTCCATTTCAAAAGAAGGACAGGGAGGGATGGAGATTTGGAAATGAAGAAACTGATTATTAAAAAAAAATAAAAATCAGGACCCTCCCTTCTGCCCTGTCCATCTGGGGGGGAGGGGCTGCGGGGGTGCAGGGACCAGTGGCCTGAAGCAAGTGCTCTCAGTTCTCTAGTTCTAGCTGATCTACATGGGGCAGCAGGTAGGGAGGGGGAAGGGGCTTCAAAACTTTTCTCCCCTTACCGTCTTAGCCATCCAGCTCTGAGTGGGAGATAGTGACGATGTGGCAGGGGGGTTCTCTGGGCCTCTCTGAGCCACCATCCCTGGCCGAGAGGAGGAGGAGGAATGAGTTGATCCCCTTCTTCACTCCCAGGGCCATATGGTAGAGCTGCTGCCGCACATCCTTCTGCCAATAGGCATAGATGAGTGGGTTGAGCAGGGAGTTGCCCACACCAAGCAGCCACAGGTACCGTTCTAGCACCACATATAGGTGGCACTCCTGGCAGGCCACCTGCACGATGCCAGTAATAAGGAAGGGGGCCCAGGACAGAGTGAAGCTCCCAATGAGAACAGACACAGTGCGGATAGCCTTGAAGTCGCTGGGGTTCCGCTGGGGCCGGTAAGCCCCAGCTATGGCTCCTGCTTGCTCCATCTTTCTGATCTGCTGGCTGTGCATGGAGGCAATCTTGAGCATGTCGCAGTAGAAGAAGACGAAGAGGAGCAGGGCTGGGAAGAAGCCAACGCAGGAGAGGGTCAGCACGAAGCGAGGGTGAAACACAGCAAAGAAGCTGCAGGGCCCACGGTAGGTGGTCTGCTGGAATATAGGGACTCCGAGTGGGAGGAAGCCAATGAGGTAAGACACCCACCAAGGTAAGACACCAACCAGAGCCCGGCAATGCAGCCCCCCGCCACGAGCCCGCTCATGATCTGAAAGTAGCGGAGAGGCTGCTTGATGGCTAGGTACCTGTCAAAGGCGATCAGCATGACCGTGAGGACAGAGGCGGCTGCAGAGGAAGTGACAAATGCCATCCGAAGGCTGCACAGGGTCTTCTGTGTGGGCCGAGCAGAGCTGGAGAGCTGGTCTGTGACTAGACCGGAGATGGCCACACCAATCAAGGTGTCAGCCACAGCCAGATTCAAGGTGAAGCAGAGACCCACACCATCATTTTTGTGGATCGACAGCAGCACAGCCAGGGCCACTAGTGTGTTAGCAGCAATGATGAGGACAGCCAGGACAGTAAGGATCACTCCAAATGAGACAGTCGACTCCATGTCTTGAAGTGGCAGGGGTT